CCCGATAGGGTACCCTTGCTACCCGGATAGAAATACCCGAAAGGGTACCCTTGCTACCCGGATAGAAATACCCGATAGGGTACCCTTGCTACCCAGATAGAAATACCCGATAGGGTACCCTTGCTACCCGGATAGAAATACCCGATAGGGTACCCTTGCTACCCGGATAGAAATACCCGATAGGGTACCCTTGCTACCCGGATAGAAATACCCGATAGGGTACCCTTGCTACCCGGATAGAAATACCCGATAGGGTACCCTTGCTACCCGGATAGAAATACCCGATAGGGTACCCTTGCTACCCGGATAGAAATACCCGATAGGGTACCCTTGCTACCCGGATAGAAATACCCGATAGGGTACCCTTGCTGCTGGATAGAAATACCAGATAGCGTACCCTTGCTGCCCGGATAGAAATACCCGATAGGGTACCCTTGCTACCCGGATAGAAATACCCGATAGGGTACCCTTGCTACCCGGATAGAAATACCCGATAGGGTACCCTTGCTACCCGGATAGAAATACCCGATAGGGTACCCTTGCTACCCGGATAGAAATACCCGATAGGGTACCCTTGCTACCCGGATAGAAATACCCGATAGGGTACCCTTGCTACCCGGATAGAAATACCCGAAAGGGTACCCTTGTTGCTGGATAGAAATACCAGATAGCGTACCCTTGCTGCCCGGATAGAAATACCCGATAGGGTACCCTTGCTACCCGGATAGAAATACCCGATAGGGTACCCTTGCTACCCGGATAGAAATACCCGATAGGGTACCCTTGCTACCCGGATAGAAATACCCGATAGGGTACCCTTGCTACCCGAATAGAATTACCCGATAGGGTACCCTTGCTACCCGGATAGAAATACCCGATAGGGTACCCTTGCTACCCGGATAGAAATACCCGATAGGGTACCCTTGCTACCCGGATAGAAATACCCGATAGGGTACCCTTGCTACCCGGATAGAAATACCCGATAGGGTACAATTGCTACCCGGATAGAAATACCCGATAGGGTACCCTTGCTACCCGGATAGAAATACCCGATAGGGTACCCTTGCTACCCGGATAGAAATACCCGATAGGGTACCCTTGCTACCCGGATAGAAATACCCGATAGGGTACCCTTGCTACCCGGATAGAAATACCCGATAGGGTACCCTTGCTACCCGGATAGAAATACCCGATTGTGTACCCTTGCTACCCGGATAGAAATACCCGATAGGGTACCCTTGCTAACGGGATAGAAATACCCGATAGGGTACCCTTGCTACCCGGATAGAAATACCCGATAGGGTACCCTTGCTGCCCGGATACAAATACCCGATAGGGTACCCTTGCTACCCGGATAGAAATACCCGAAAGGGTACCCTTGCTACCCGGATAGAAATACCCGATAGGGTACCCTTGCTACCCAGATAGAAATACCCGATAGGGTACCCTTGCTACCCGGATAGAAATACCCGATAGGGTACCCTTGCTACCCGGATAGAAATACCCGATAGGGTACCCTTGCTACCCGGATAGAAATACCCGATAGGGTACCCTTGCTACCCGGATAGAAATACCCGATAGGGTACCCTTGCTACCCGGATAGAAATACCCGATAGGGTACCCTTGCTACCCGGATAGAAATACCCGATAGGGTACCCTTGCTACCCGGATAGAAATACCCGATAGGGTACCCTTGCTGCTGGATAGAAATACCAGATAGCGTACCCTTGCTGCCCGGATAGAAATACCCGATAGGGTACCCTTGCTACCCGGATAGAAATACCCGATAGGGTACCCTTGCTACCCGGATAGAAATACCCGATAGGGTACCCTTGCTACCCGGATAGAAATACCCGATTGTGTACCCTTGCTACCCGGATAGAAATACCCGATAGGGTACCCTTGCTACCCGGATAGAAATACCCGATAGGGTTACCTTGCTACCCGGATAGAAATACCCGATAGGGTACCCTTGCTGCCCGGATACAAATACCCGATAGGGTACAATTGCTACCCGGATAGAAATACCCGATAGGGTACCCTTGCTACCCGGATAGAAATACCCGATAGGGTACCCTTGCTACCCGGATAGAAATACCCGATAGGGTACCCTTGCTACCCGGATAGAAATACCCGATAGGGTACCCTTGCTACCCGGATAGAAATACCCGATAGGGTACCCTTGCTGCCCGGATACAAATACCCGATAGGGTACCCTTGCTACCCGGATAGAAATACCCGATAGGGTACCCTTGCTACCCGGATAGAAATACCCGATAGGGTACCCTTGCTACCCAGATAGAAATACCCGATAGGGTACCCTTGCTACCCGGATAGAAATACCCGATAGGGTACCCTTGCTACCCGGATAGAAATACCCGATAGGGTACCCTTGCTACCCGGATAGAAATATCCGATAGGGTACCCTTGCTACCCGGATAGAAATACCCGATAGGGTACCCTTGCTACCCGGATAGAAATACCCGATAGGGTACCCTTGCTACCCGGATAGAAATACCCGATAGGGTACCCTTGCTACCCGGATAGAAATACCCGATAGGGTACCCTTGCTGCTGGATAGAAATACCAGATAGCGTACCCTTGCTGCCCGGATAGAAATACCCGATAGGGTACCCTTGCTACCCGGATAGAAATACCCGATAGGGTACCCTTGCTACCCGGATAGAAATACCCGATAGGGTACCCTTGCTACCCGGATAGAAATACCCGATAGGGTACCCTTGCTACCCGGATAGAAATACACGATTGTGTACCCTTGCTACCCGGATAGAAATACCCGATAGGGTACCCTTGCTAACGGGATAGATATACCCGATAGGGTACCCTTGCTACCCGGATAGAAATACCCGATAGGGTACCCTTGCTGCCCGGATACAAATACCCGATAGGGTACAATTGCTACCCGGATAGAAATACCCGATAGGGTACCCTTGCTACCCGGATAGAAATACCCGATAGGGTACCCTTGCTACCCGGATAGAAATACCCGATAGGGTACCCTTGCTACCCGGATAAAAAAATACCCGATAGGGTACCCTTGCTACCCGGATAGAAATACCCGATAGGGTACCCTTGCTACCCGGATAGAAATACCCGATAGGGTACCCTTGCTACCCGGATAGAAATACCCGATAGGGTACCTTTGCCTCTGGATAGAAATACCAGATAGCGTACCCTTGCTGCCCGGATAGAAATACCCGATAGGGTACCCTTGCTACCCGGATAGAAATACCCGATAGGGTACCCTTGCTACCCGGATAGAAATACCCGATAGGGTACCCTTGCTACCCGGATAGAAATACCCGATAGGGTACCCTTGCTGCTGGATAGAAATACCCGATAGGGTACCCTTGCTACCCGGATAGAAATACCCGATAGGGTACCCTTGCTACCCGGATAGAAATACCCGATAGGGTACCCTTGCTACCCGGATAGAAATACCCGATAGGGTACCCTTGCTACCCGGATAGAAATACCCGATAGGGTACCCTTGCTACCCGGATAGAAATACCCGATAGGGTACCCTTGCTGCCCGGATAGAAATACCCGATAGGGTACCCTTGCTACCCGGATAGAAATACCCGATAGGGTACCCTTGCTGCTGGATAGAAATACCCAATAGGGTACCCTTGCTGCCCGGATAGAAATACCCGATAGGGTACCCTTGCTGCCCAGATAGAAATACCCGATAAGGTACCCTTGCTGCCCGGATAGAAATACCCGATAGGGTTCCCTTGCTGCCCGGATAGAAATACCCGATAGGGTACCTTTGCTACCCGGATAGAAATACCCGATAGGGTACCCTTGCTGCCGGGATAGAAATACCCGATAGGGTACCCTTGCTACCTGGATAGAAATACCCGATAGGGTACCCTTGCTACCCGGATAGAAATACCCGATATGGTACCCTTGCTACCCGGATAGAAATACCCGATAGGGTACCCTTGCTACCCGGATAGAAATACCCGATTGGGTACCCTTGCTACCGGGATAGAAATACCCGATAGGGTACAGTTGCTAACCGGATAGAAATATCTGATAGGGTACCCTTGCTGCCCGGATAGAAATACCCGATAGGGTACCCTTGCTACCCGGATAGGAATACCCGACAGGGTACCCTTGCTGTCCGGATAGAAATACCCGACAGGGTAACCTTGCTGCCCGGATAGAAATACCCGATAGCGTACACTTGCTAACCGGATAGAAATACCCGATAGGGTATCCTTGCTGCCCGGATAGAAATACCCGATAGGGTACCCGTGCTGTCCGGATAGAAATACCTGATAGGGTACCCTTGCTGCCGGGCTAGAAATACCCGATAGGGTACCCTTGCTGCCCGGATAGAAATACCCGATAGGGTACCCGTGCTGTCCGGATAGAACTACCCGATAGGGTAGCCTTGCTGCCCGGATAGAAATACCCAATATGGTACCCTTGCTGCCCGGATAGAAATACTCGATAGGGTACCTTGCTGTCCGGATAGAAATACCTGATAGGGTACCCTTGCTGCCCGGATAGAAATACCCGATATGGTACCATTGCTACTCGGATAGAAATACCCGATAGGGTACCCTTGCTAACCGGATAGAAATACCCGATAGGGTACCCTTGCTGCCCGGATAGAAATACCCGACAGGGTACCCTTGCTACCCGGATAGGAATACCCGATAGGGTACCCTTGCTACCCGGATAGAAATACCTGATAGGGACCCTTGCTGCCCGGATAGAAATACCCGATAGGGTACCCTTGCTGCCCGGATAGAAATACCCGATAGGGTATCCTTGCTAACCGGATAGAAATACCCGTTAGGGTACCCTTGCTGCCCGGATAGAAATACCCGACAGGGTATGGTGATCGTCTTCAGTTCCTTGCAATCTTGTCACACTATTTACCAGGAACCATCAGTTTCTGCTTAATAAGCAATGCATGCCATACAAATTAATGTCTGATGGATAATCACATAGCACATAACACTTACTCTGGCGGCTAGGGGAGGATTGCCTGAAGTCTGAAAATCGTGTGCCGACATCCGTCGACAATGGAATCCTTGCAAACATCTGTGAAGCAGACGACTGGAAGTCGTGATGCTGTCCGGCCTGCTCGTGATGCTGGTGCCGCTGATGCTGCTGTTGGTGCTGCTGCTGCTGGTGCCGCTGCTGGTGCCGCTGCTGCTGCTGCTGGTGCTGCTGCTGGTGGTGATGCTGCTGCTGCTGCTGCTGGTGCCGCTGCTGCCGGTGCTGCTGCCGGTGGTGATGCTGCTGCTGCTGGTGTTGCTGCTGGTGCTGCTGATGCTGGTGGTGCTGGTCCCGCTGCTGGTGGTGCTGGTGGTGATGCTGTTCCTGCTGTTGCTGCTGCTGCAGGTTCTGGTGGCCCTGCTGCTGCTCTTGTTGCTGCTGTTGTTGCTGCTGTTGTTGCTGTTGCAGGGTGTGTTTTTGATGTTGGTAATATGTAGGTGATGTGATGGAAGACAAGGGTGGTATGGTATCTTGCAGTACCTGTGTATAACTGCCACTTGTTGCTGCAAGGTATAGATTATCACGAATTGGATCCAAACTTGACGATGACGGACATGCCAGAGGAAGACATGATGAGAGACCTGCATCGTGTTCTGCAATTCTGGCATATGCTGTATTTGGTTCTATGTCAGCCTCTGATAGAGTTGTTCCTGCTTCGGATAATGCCGGTGCTCGTTGTGGCCATAAGCTATGACTCTCCACTTGCCCAGGACCAGACGAGACTAATATGCACAAAAACAACACGCAGAAAATGACACAAGTACAGTACACGAATACATGAGAGTGCGTACACACGTACACAGACTTTGGAACTTGTGTATTAGTTCAATGCCACAAACTATGACCTTACCCCCAATACCCACATAGCCATTATTTATTGTTCAAAAATGTAAAGTTGTGCAGGTAAATGTTAAAATGGCCAGTGAAATTCCACCTCATAAAAGAGAGAGCTTGGAAGCTCAGGGCCCTACGCTATTCTCTTTTGCTTTGATGACCTAGGCAAAAAAACATAGTAAATTTTTCATTTCTCCTTTTTTTTTAAGACATAACCTGGGATTCGAACCCGCACTATTGCCCTGCATGTATCCCCGATACACTTCGCATACATACTAATTCTTTCAAGTTGCTTCACGTTATGATCTTGCATTTGAATATTGACCAGCTGTTTGTGGCCAGCCGTCTTTGATGGTACGGTACGGGACAGGTACGGTCGAGGGTAATACGACACCGTCTACCACCTTGATGACCTAGGCAAAAAAGCATAGGGATGTTATAAATTTTACAATTCTCCTACAAGAGACTGTGCTTGTAATAGAGATAATACGATATGTGAACCCACCAACAAAACTAGCTAGCACGCAAACACACACACACACACACACACACACATATGTGTGCGCGCACTTGCACACACACACACACACACACACACGCACACACACACACACACACACCTGTGCATGCACCAACATAAACACACCAACATGCACTAATTCCTTACTGAAGTCAACGTCCAGCTCTGATGACAGTTGAGACAGGTCACAGTGACCACCAGTGGATGAGACAACATTACGAACAAACTGAGCTGATGCTGTTGTTGGTTGTATCCTCTCCAACATACGTGATACAGTGATTGGATTCTGTAGACGATGACCATACGCTGCTGCATCCTGAACTGGATACGTGAAGTTGCTGTTGTCACAACTGATGGTGCTGCTGCTGTGGCTATGCTGTGTTGCATGCTGTACGTACGTATCAACAAAACTAGTTATTGGTGATGCTTGTCTGTTTGCACTGGGGTGTGTGAAAGGGATATCCTCTACACTTTCTGCTGGTACTGGTACTGCTGCTGATGTAGAGGAGACACTTGCGGGTACTTGCTCGTCTCCTGCCAGTGCTGACGGCGAATCCATGGATGTGGACACTGGGGTGATGGCTGAAGTTTCTACAATCACAGAGAGAAAGGCAGGCAGACAGACAGACAGACACACGCAGACACACACACAGACACACACAGACACACAGACACACAGACAAACACACACACACACAGACAGACACACAAACACACAGACATGCACATAACCATCATCGGATTACTTTCTACATTTCAGCTTACTGGGACCAAATTCCAACTCCGCATCCCCTCCAACTCCCCCCCCCCCCACCCCCCCCCCCCCCCCCACACACACACAACTCCCAGACACCAATTTACCTTAGCAACCCCCCACCCCCCAAACAACATTCATGCTAACCCAACCACAGTCCACCTTAGCCCCAGACCACAACACACCAACCTGCCCATGGCTCAACATGCTATTGAAATAAGCTGCCGGGTCAGCAACCAGCCAACGGACCGACTCTCTCATGCACAACCCGCTAGCACGTGTGAGCCACACGCATGCACGACCAGCTAGCACGCAAGACCAATCTGTATGCATGACCCATCCTCATACCGACCAGCCCGCACACCAACCAGCCCGCACACTAACCCACCCGCACCCTAACCAGCTCGCACACAGATCAGCCTTGAAGCCGACGAAACTGGAAAGTTGTGGAAACCGACCAGCCCACACGCCGACCAGCCAGGAAACAGACCCACCGGTAGGGATATCAGCAAACGCACTGCGCAGCGTGTTCGCGCATGTCTTACCTCATGCGGAAATCTATGAGGCGCATGGCCGACAAGAAAAAATGGCGATCACTGAAATCAGGCCGTGGATCAGGCTCAGCGCAGGCCGGCAAGGAGTAAAAATTAAAATCGACACTCGACAAGAAGCCTGTTTGTTGGTTTGCTTGAGCTCGATTCATTCAGGAAAAAAGACATCATGAGCTAATATTCTTCTTCACCCATGCCTGGTAAACGTTCTCAAGTAAAGACATGACAAAGGAAGAAGATGTTCGTAGCTGGATGGAGCTATGTTTGCACCAAAGAACAGTACCCGTACTTCTCTGCGAACAGGCTACCTGGTGACCTCTGGTGGTTGCGTCTGAAACTTACTTGTTGATTTTGCTCTAACCACTCCAAGCAAGTTTCCAAGACTTGGGCTTCTACTCCCTTGTCTAGACAGCCATGACTAGAAACTACTTGGGCAAAGGTCCTCGACGCAAGAACAAGTAGTATCATTCAAAACTTCAAAAGCGCCATATGTGTGCGGTACATGGTGCCCAAGTAATCTTTCGATTACTTTCGCGCGAACGCCTCCGTGCATTTCCGCCAATCTTGGCACGTGTAGTCCACATGGTCAGGCCAATTCAATGACGTCTTCAAAAGGGGACTTCCCTGGTTAGACCTTGCCAGGTACCAGCCGACGTTCTACGAAATCTAGCTGACGATCGTCCATTTTTGAGCTGGAAGAAAGTGCCTCGGAAACCCTGTGGACGACGTCGAGAACAATGTAATAAACGATGAATGTATTCGTAATAACCTTTGTAGCCATCGCCCAGCGTCGAAGAGGGAAGCTTTGAAGTAGCTCGGCTCTAGCTGGTCTTCTTCCTCAGACACTTCTTCGCCATTCCGTCCTTCTTTTCCATTCTGATTTACATGCGAATTTTTTCGGGTGTGGATGGTCACGGCTTGTCGGCCGCGTTGGATGTGCACGTGATCACCTGCGCAGTGGGCTGCGCAGTGCGTTTGCTGATATCCCTACCACCGGTACACTGACCGGCCTGGAAACCGACCCACCCGCACACCGACCCGCCCGCACATCGACCCGCCCGCACACCGACCCGCCCGCACACCGACCCGCCCGCAAACTAAGCAGCCCTCAAAGCAACCCAACCGAACATTAACCAGCCTCGAAACCGACCAACCCACACACCGGCGGGTTCCAACACGAACCGGCATGTACACCAACCCGCCACACACGGATACTTCCGTTCAAATACCATACTTAACACTGACCATCACACACAGACCCACCAGCACACCCACCCGCCACATACCCACCCACCCACCCACCAGTACACCCACCCACCCACCAGCACATCCATCCACCAGCACACCCACCCACCAGCACACCCACCCACCAACACACCCACCCACCAGTACACGCACCAGTACACCCACCCACCAGCACACCCACCCGCCAGCACACCCAACAACCAGCACACCCACCCACCAGCACGCCCACTCGACATCACACACACCCATCAACACACCCACCAGCACACCCACCCACCAGCACACCCACCAGCACACTCACCCACCAGCACACTCACCCACCAGCACACTCACCCACCAACACAGCCACCCACGAGCACAGCAACCCACCAGCACACCCACCCACCAGCACACACACCCACCAACACACCCACCCACCAGCACACCCACCTACTCAGACACACACACACACCATGTACCACACACACACACGCACGCACACGCAACCACGTCCACACACGGATACTCACGTTCAAAGACCATACTGAACATTGACCATCACACACAGAACTCCCCTACGATAACACAACACCCCCCCCCCCCCCCCACCCCCACACCTACCCACACACACTGCATTGACATGCCTATACACCCACCACCCCTCCTGCAAATCCAGAAACTGCAACGATGAACTTTGACAGAAGGCGTGTATGCAAACTGCTAACCCACACTACACCCCCCCCCCCCTGCCTTTGCAAACCCACACTACACCCCCCCCCCCCCCCTGCCTTTGCCAACCCACACTACCCCCCCCCCCCTGCCTTTGCCAACCCACACTACCCCACCCCCTACCTTTGCCAACCCACACTACCCCCCCCCTGCCTTTGCCAACCCACACTACCCCACCCCCCCTGCCTTTGCCAACCCACACTACCCCACCCCCTACCTTTGCCAACCCACACTACCCCCCCCCCCCCACCCCCTACCTTTGCCAACCCACACTACCCCCACCCCCACCCCCCTACCTTTGCCAACCCACACTACCCCACCCCCCCCCCTGCCTTTGCCAACCCACACTACCCCACCCCCCCCTGCCTTTGCCAACCCACACTACCCCACCCCCTACCTTTGCCAACCCACACTACCCCCCCCCCCCCCCTGCCTTTGCCAGCCCACATTACCCTTGCCCCACGTGTGCAAACCCACGCACTGCAATGATACACCACTACCATCTCCTCCACCACCATCCCTGAAAAGTTACCCACTGACACCCATCCAACTCATATTCTGTACGTGACGGCATATTTGAAAAGTATATACGTAGTCCAACAGGTGACAGACAGCCTGCAAGCAATCGCATACCTGTCACAATTCACGTTATGAACACTAAGAAAACTCATGCTTACCGTCATCATCCATTTCTCAGCTTCACAATCTCTGTAGCATGTCTTACGTTGTGTTCACATAGCACTATCTTGTTTACTGGAGATGACAAAACAATGAGTAGACAGACAATGAAACAAAAATCGCACACACCTATTCAGAGACAATCAGCAGAAGAACAGAAAGCTGTCAGACAATTGAATCCGGAAAAAGGACACATTGGAGCCAGAGTGGGGAGGCGGGGAGGAGGAGGCGAGGAGTGGGGGGGGGGGGGGGGGGAGGAGGAGGTGAGGAGTGGGGGGAGGAGGATGGAATACATTACCAGGTGGCTGAGGTAGTTTTACGGTCGTCTGAGCACTGTAAAAAAATGGTACTGTTGACATCGGGTTTTTTTGTTAAAAACTCAAATCGGGGTGGGGAGTTAACCCGAAACAACAAATTTCCTCATTTGTATAATCACCTACAGTCCATTTCAAAACTATAGACGCGTACCTAGGCAAAAACCGTTATGCCAGCATCTATACCACATAAAATCTGTGATCCCTTTGTGCATACATTTTTCCAAATTGGGCGTCTCTTATCCAATCGTTTAGAAACTCTATGAGAGTAATTGTGGAGCGATCCTGAGCAATATTCCGAAAACTATTCTCAAAAAGTTCCAGCCAAATTTGAAATATTTCAAAAACCCTACGCGTCTATAGTTTTTGAAATGGACTGTAGTCCTCTCTATTCCTGTATACACTAGACTACAGCGGTGATCAATGAAATGTGGACATTACGGAGGTTTTGAAAGACAAATTTCCCTTTCAAGTTCGCACTCCAATGAAAGTCAAACTCATTGACGAATTTCGCGTTGTGATGAGCAAGTCGCGTCACTCAAGTACGTGTCGGACGTTGCGCAGCCCTAGACCTGCAAACACTGGGTTGCCAAATATGGTGCAAGGTGCAAACTACAGTTAAACCTTGTTAGGAAGAACACGGATAAGGCAAATGTTTGCTTAATAAGAACTAGTATTCCTAACTCAAGACAAATATTCCGAACTCCATTGGATAAATAACTGTGTATTCACTGGGTATAACATACGGATAAGAAGAACTCCCGTTATTGCAAACAAATGTCATCGGTCCCTTGGTGTTCGTCCTAGAGAGATTTGACTGTACTAGAGTCACATGACTGGATTTCATTGAGCGGCACTGTACATGTGTACGGCCACTACTGTGACTATAACCTAGTTAACGGAATTTTTTTCTTTTTTTTCTGTACAAAATCCACATTATCTCCAGACACTGGGGTGAATAATGGAGTGTGGTGGTGGGGCCCACTAAGCTCAGCCAATCAGAGGTCTCGGCTTCATAGCTCCATGGACGCACCAAAGTACAGTGCTAGCAACTGGAATCCGTCCCCCTTCGCGGTGCGCCGCCAAGGGGGTCGGATTTCAGTTGCCAGCACTGTATGACAGTCCTGAGACGAATCTGCGATTCGTGTTCGACTGCTTTCCCGAACGAAAAACGCGGAAGTTCGCATTTCAGTTCGTGAACCGAACAGTGTTTTGATACTGTAATTTTGAAACTTGTGATGCCTCCATGTTGCCAGGCAGATGCCACTGAGCAATATGCAGTCCAAGACCTGCAAACACGGGGCTGTGCACTGGTGCAGGGCATTGTGCAGTCCCAGACCTGCAAACACTGGGCTGTACACTGGTGCAGGGCACTGTGCAGTCCCAGACCTGCAAACACTGGGCTGTGCACTGGTGCAGGGCACTGTGCAGTCCCAGACCTGCAAACACGGGGCTGTGTGCAGTCCCAGACCTGCAAACACGGGGCTGTGCAGTCCCAGACCTGCAAACACAGGGCTGTGCACTAGTGCAGTGATGCGTCTATGAACTCCAGACCCCCCCCGTGTCATTGAACACAGCTCTGCATTGTACTATCATTGGTATCAGAACAGTACACTGACATGAGATATCCTTCACCGCCGTTCTTTGCAGAACGCGAGAAATTCATTCAGCTACTCGAGCCGTCCAAGTACGAAATCGCAGAGCAATACAGATTATACGCTAATACAGTCATACACACAAAAAACACAAGATCACTAACCAGGAGATGCGCGTGTTCACTGTGTGACGCTGCGACCCAGTTTCTCAATGACGTCCCTTTGGTTTTGGACTCTTCGAATAACACCAGCCCGCTATCGCTGCACTGCCTGTACTGACTCAATCCGACTAGACTCCCTACCAGAGCGGACAACTAGCGATAGCTAGCGAATCAGCTAGAGAATGGAACCGCAGTACAGTTCGTCTTTGACGAAGTACATGCAAGTAGGTTTGTGAAATCTGAACGCACAGACACCTACGCCACTGATACTAGTCTCATCACCTTTGTCCTTTGCTAGTACTTAGTGGTCGTTACTACACGCAAGTAGAGCGTAGATATACACGGAAACGATGCGTGTTGAGCAGAACAGAACAGGACTGGAGTGATTACGTTTGCCGCTTCCGTCCGGACCTACACTGAGTTTATTTTGCTCTACACAAGGTGTAGCGTGGACGTACTGGTACTGGCAAAGGAAAGTGTCTGCTGTTCCGGCGGACGTAAACGACGCAGGGTCGGAATCTGTAATTGGAAAATATAGCAACTACTTGTAGTGCCCTACTGACCTAGTCTTTCACTAGAACAACCAAGAGTACTGCTACAACAGTATATCTACGTGGAGGCCTAGCCTGTACTGTCGTTGTGTGCCTCGAAAATGAAGAACTCACAGCACGTAACGTCGTTGTCGTTGTGCTTGTGGCTGACCTGCAAAATCTTACCAAAATTTATGGCGGAGGTTTCTCGAGTCTACTCTGCTGCATGCCCTGGCCTTGGCGGTCCCTTTGCCCGTCTCGGAGTCGTAGCACAGACGTCGTTGCTCGGCTGGACTTGCTCCATGCTGACATCACTGTCATCAGACCACGGTGTCACGTGACGTAGGCCTGTCCGGATCAGGGAGTCGTAGAATACCGGTATTTTACGACTCCCTGGTCCGGATTATGTTTTGCATATTTTTCGCATTTTGGGGTTTTTCAGCTTTTTTTCGCATTTTGGGTTTTTCAGCATTTTTCAACATTTTGAGCAGGATTCATAAATATGGTGGTAAAGCTTAAAGACACACCTGGCAATATGGCGGTAAACAAACGCCTGCCCACACACGCTCTCTAGGCTGCAAAGTTCTGGCACAGAGCTCTCCTTCTCACCACCACCACCATCAGTTCGCGCCTGGCGTCTTTTCCACCATATTTATCAACCATAAGTACAGCTGCAGTGGTGTCTTCAACTTCATTCTTTTTTTTTGAGCAGGGAGTAGTACTGTAGTATCCCTGCTTTACAGTTAACGCATGACTAGTACTTTGCATGACTCTTATAATTACTCTTGTTACTACTTTCGGACAAGTCCTACATCATGTACCTCACATTATGATTTGATTACATCAGCATGATCAGGAGTACCGCGCTTCTAGAAGATCATAGATCTTCCATGCATGCTGCTGTCATCACTTCTAGTATCACTTCCTTTTAGTTACTAGTTGGTACAGTCATGACTCATGTACATGTATGTCATGTTGTTCCGGACTATTCCAGACCTTCCACGTCATATGCCCTATGAGTAATGTTGCTGACTAAATTGCATAATATAGATATCTCACCTTCTAGAATACCTCGCTTAGTCATTATGTTAATGTTACGTAATGCTCACTTCATCTACGTGTATAGCAATGATGATCTCGGTTTGCCTTCTCCACTATTCTAGAACTTGTACTAGGAGGATGATTTCGTAATCACTGCAATGGCTTACTAACCTTACTTTCCTACCGCCGCCTGCTTTGCTATACATACTTTGCTTGCCTATAAAAGCTGCTGTGTTTTCTCTGCCATGAGCTGGGAGAGCTGAGCTGAGATCGGAGAGATCCGATAGAGATCAGAGAGAGAGCAAGTTCACTTTCACTTTGATATAAGATAACCTCCAGGCCGTGCCGGAGTAAGTTCTGATACGTTACTGTAGTTGACTGACTGTGGGTAGTAGCCTCCTAGCCTCGCCGACGCACGTTACAGTACAATACCTTATATGTACTACTCCCTGATTTTGAGCATAGTAGGACACTCATACCTCGGTTATCCGGACTTCGACGTTACGGGCACTTCGGTCTACCGGGCACTATTTGGGCGAGTTTCAGGGGAAATATTACTACTCTTTTGTCACTTTTCGTAGAAATATTGACGTCATATGCCATATCGATGGCCTTTTCCCCATCAAGATGTACATTGTATATGCTTCGGAGTTACGGGCACCCTCGAAGTTACGGGCAGTGTCCGGTCCCGAAGCGCCCGGATAAGAGAGGTATGAGTGTAGTAGAATTTATTATTTTGATAGGGAAGGCCCTACAGACTCTGCCGTCTTAGCATTATTATTATTATTATTATTATCAAATTTTTGAGAGGGCAATCCCCACTAGGGCTTGGCGGATAATGCCGGCAGAAAAATTGGCAGAATTAAGTACATGTACATTTTCTGGTAATTTTATGCATGTTTGGTATGTGGATAAAGAAATGGAGCAGAATTCGAGGAATTGCCCGCCATATTATTAAAGGTTTGTATGGTTCTGCCAATTTCGGTGCAAAAAAAGCAGAATCTGCCACCTTTTCGAGCATTATCCGCCAAGGCCTAATCCCCACAGGCCTAAGCCTTAGGCTAAGGCCTTCTTACAGGGTACCCTGCTCATCGGCAGCCTCGATCGATCGAGTGCACTTGGCTCTGAAGAAGCCATACAACCAAACAAAATGATCGATTCCTTTCGACTATCGAAAACAACCACATCCTATTGTGCTTCCTCCACGTGCACTTGGGACGACTAGGGATTCAAGTTTTACGCCATTTTGGTTGCCATTGTAACGGCAGCATAATTTTCGCATTTGGGTGAAATTTTGAATAAAAAAAAATATTTTTTTAACATTTTGGGTAAATTTCCAAAAAATAATTATTTCCATTTTGACCCTTCAAAAAACGCATAATCCGGACAGGGTTACCGGTGTGCCCCTGATTCCTGAACACCAGCTTTGTGATGACAGCCGCGTAGCCGTCACTGCTCTCACCATGGTGACTGATTGCCAGGTACTAGGTGAAGCAAGGAGCCACGGAACCGCACTTGGTCATGGAGCAGGGAGTCGTATGCATGTATACCGTATATGCGACTCACACACACACAGGTAATGCAGATGCTGGGTGGGCTGTTGCAAACAACAAGCAAACGCCGTAGCACGACTCAGAACTCCAGTCCAACTGCCAAAGGAAAATAAATGCACGACTCGTTCTCGTCGTAGCTGCAATTTCTCGTGCAGCAGCCACGGTACGCACACGCACACACACGCGTGCACACCATGTATGTATACGCCCGTCGCAAGAGAAGCACGCAAATCTGCAAATGCACTGGATATGCACCCACAGATTTTCTCTTATAGCAACGATAGCGAACAAGTTGTGAATGAGACAGATCAAGACTTGCGCCAGATAACTGTCTAATCCACGTAACTAGTGAAGCCATGTGAATCGACCACCAATGCACACCTGGTCTACACCACACAGAGTACATGGGCATAAAACGGCCAAGACAGTTACCTATGCACACCCTACACTTGCTGGGGTAACCAGTATAGACTGCATGCACATGCACATGCACACACGCACGCAAACATAGCACTAAAAACAAAGGGGAAACACGGGGGAAAGGCCAATCCTGAACGGTTTCACGCAGTCAACGGGTGAGAGTGCACATTTCTCCAAACCAGGGAGTAGTAAAATATGTATTTTACTACTCCCTGCTCCAAACACTCTTTGTACAGAAGCAGCAGCTGCAGCACCGCAGAACAGCGGGACAACAACAACAAGAAGCAGAATAACTATGTATAGGAAACTGGCATGAACACCTATCCTCAAACTCAGAAAACAACACGCGAATCTACTACTGCTGGCCACAGTAGCCACACCTCATAGACACTCTAAGATGGGGTAAAAAGAGAGACCGAGAGTAGAAGGTCGGGGTGGGCTGACTTGCCCCGTGTTCGGGGTGGGATGGGGGGGGGGGGGGACGAACCAGCCCGGTCACAAAAAGTACACTCAAGTGAAGGGTGCAGCATGGCAAACTGCACAGTGCGGAGATGCCAGGCACGCACAGCTGGGCATGAGCCTGACAGAGCTGTCGTCTGACCAGCCAGTTGCTCACCCTGCCATGAACGGTAGACGAGCGGACACAAGACCGGCGACAGGACTTCCCCGTCTCTCTCCCCCGTCTCTCTCTCTTTCTTGGTGTGTGGTGAGACTGACAATGCTAGGACTGCCCGTCATCGTCATCACTGCCGTGTACCTAGTAGAGCGAGTCCAGGTTGTTGCTGCGCGGCTTCTTGATCTTCTCAATGTTCTTCGTGATCGTGTCGTGCAGAATACACTGCGCACAACAACAACAACAACAACAACAACAACAACAACAACAACAACAACAACAACAACAACAACAACAACAACAACAACAACAATGACAACAACAACAACCAGAATTCAAATTCAAAGTCAAAAACAATCTCTTATTGGCCACTGGCTATCGTGAGACTAAAGATTTGAAACAACAACAACCTCAACTAATGGATATAGGATACTATACAGTTCCTCAGCCACACACTGTCCAGATCTTTACAGCCCGTGAAGGAGCGTTACACGAAAGTTCCACCATCCCCTTGGTAACACATTATAGTGCGTTTCAAAAGCATAGACCTCCAGACTTTTTCGAATAATTCAAATTTTGATTGAGCCTTTCGAGAAACTTCTATTGCTCAGGCAGCTCCAGCAGTTTTTCTCGTATACATTTTTAAGCGATTGGATAACAAACGCCCAATTTCGGAAATTTTATACACAAAGTGATCACAGATTTTACGTGTACAGATGCTGGCCAAACATTTTTTTAAACCAGAGGTCTGCACTGAAACGTACAATAGTGAAGGTCTGTTCTACTTGACGGGAACAATCCTGGGAACTCTCTTCGAGTTCCCGTAACGTGATGGAAACCTGTGCTGCTCTATGTTCACGTAGAGAAACACCTGGGAAATGTGTACCGGAAATTTCCCGTTCAAAAATTGGCCGCTTTCCGCCTGATTTGAATGATACCGAGCAGA